GTCCTATGTGCCCGTGCCCCTGCTCCCGGCCCAGGCACACTGGCCACGTGGCTGCAGGCCTCTCCTCTGACACATAGCCACACTCGTGCTCCCTCCCCTAGGAGCTGGGTCACGCCAGCTTCCAGGTCATTCTCCCACTGAGCGGCCTGGGTCTGGGTGCCAGCAGTGGTTACTAATTGCCCTGGCCCCTGTGCTCCCACCAGCTCACGTCGCCTGAGCCCAGGAGGCGGCCGCCCCTCCCCATGCTGCCCAGGGAGACCCAAGGGGCAGACGGGGAAAGTGACACCTACTTGATCCTTGCAGTCAGGACTTGGCCAGCGTGCTGCAGGCCCGTCAGGGCAATGTACATCCGGAGGATCTCATTGGTTCCCTGTGGCCAGCAACACAGGTCAGGGGCAGCCGCGTGTGCAGGACCCACTAGGCCACGCTGCCACCCACCGACCCTGAGCAAGCAGCTGGGAGCGGGGGTATGTGACTGGGGGGCCAAGGGCGCCTGCTTCCTGAAAACCCAGCTCCTCTGCGAGGAGGAGCACCTGGGTCTTCACCCTGACGGTGTTCAGGAGTCATCCAGTCAGGCCGTACCGTCAGACCACTGGCCCCCTGAAGGAGTGTTGGGTCCCCACACCCCTTCCTCCCCACCCCACCCCTTGTGCACACACTGAATGGACCTGTGGCCTGTGACCCACCGGGGGCAGCACCTGGAGCGCAAGGTTGCCTGGGAAAGCCCTGAACGACGAGCCTGCCCAGCTGCAGCAGTGCCCGAGGGAGGCCCAGGCTGGGGGGTGGGGTGGTTCGAGGCAGGACCCCACCTCCCACAGGAAGCTCCCACTGTGGCCAGCAGGCCCTCAGCCTCCACCCCTGCAGAGAGGGGTCCACGCCAGGCAGCTCGGCTCTCACCTCGAAGATGAGCAGGATGCGGCTGTCACGCAGAAGGCGCTCGTACGGATAGTCCTTCATGTAGCCCGTGCCCCCGAGGATCTGCAGCGCCTCGCTCACGCACTGCCACGCGCCCTCGGAGCTGAACACCTGCCATGGGCAGGGGGCGGGTCAGCTGGGCTTCGGGGTGAGGTCACCCCCGTAGGAGCCCTGACTGCCGGTTTCACGGGGTGTCCGCAGGCAGCCCTCCTCCCTGCTCGAGCGCGGCGCCCCGCCCTCCCGAGTCTGGGTCTGCCTGGGCCGGAGGGGCTCCCTTCAGCCCCCTCCACACCCGGGGAAGCCAACATCCTTTCAAAGCTCCTTCTCCAGGGAGCCTGACCCACACCTGCCCAACCTCATCCCCTGAGACCCCCTCCTGTGCACATGACTACTTGGCTGGACACCTGGCCCCGAGTGGCGAGTGTGTGTGTGTCCACGCATGAGCATGCTGAGAGCAGAGACCGGTACACCTGGCCCTTGTCTCGGTCCTGGAAGAGGCTGCACTCAGGGCACCGTGACTCCCACGGTGGTGGTTAGGGTGACAAGAGGGGAGATGGTAAAGCCAATGCAAGTGCGCTGGGCATGAAGGCTCAGTGCAGGGAGACCGGTGAAGCCGTTAGTACAATTCCAAACCTTCCAGGCAGATTCTGAATGTGCACTACTGTTTCTCAAGCGTGACCCCCACAGACCAGCCTAACAGTAACTGTGGGGCCACAGCAGGGCTGCCATCCACCCTGCAGCAAAAGTGCGGCCCCTCCCCGGACAAGCCCAGAAGCCTCCGCAGTATTTACCTCGGCCCCATCCCTCACAAAGGGAAGCTTCCAAACCAAAACGTGGGTCTCAGAACAAAACAGCCCTTCCCCAGGAACCCAGCTGCTCTTTTATGTGGATGTGAAGTCACAACATGTGGCCTGTGTTTTTTCCCTTAGCTACAGACCGCTCATCAACGGTGACAACCTGGCCACAAGCCAGGCCGTCCTCTGCTCCCGCCGCGTGTCCCAGGGCACCGGGATTACCTTCACCATGGCGGCCTCGATGGAGCAGTCAGGAAAGCCTGGCTGGTCCAGCATCCCTGCGGTCAGGTAGGTCATACTTTCCATCACATAAGCCTTCTGAGCCATCAGGGCAAACTTCTCCTGGCGTGTTGAGAAAGAAACACCATCAGGACCCAAATCTGTGCGCTGAGGCCAAACCTGCCAGCCTGCAGAGAAGGGAGGCTGGACCGAGCCCCCTGCCCAAGAGCACCAGCCAGGGCCCAGCGCTCGCACAAGGAGCCCGGAGACACGCGGCCCCGGCCCGTCTTCCCCGCACAGGAGGCGGCAGTGCAGGCCCCGAGGGCACTCTGGCGCCCACGGAGTGGAGCCCACGAATGTGGCCCTGGGCCTTCGGTACCTGAATTAATCCGAACTCGCTGAGGCTCCTGTTGAACTGTTTCCTGGTGCAGGCGTGCTCCGCAGTCATTTCTGGAGAAGAACGGGCGTTACAAAGCACGGCTCTCTACCTGCCCTGAGGCGACTTCCTAGTGAGGCGCGCTTGTCATCCCCCCAAACCCTCAGGTAGGACTACAGGAAGACAGTCCCCCGTGACTGGAGAGCCCCGCACGGGGCTGGAGGAGCACAGCCCCCCGGCTCAGCGCCCACGGCGGTGGACCAGCTGTGAACCTGGCCCGTGTTCTCTCTCACTAGCTGAGCCGGGCCAAGCGGCTTCACCCCAAGAACAGCACTGAGACGTGGCAAAGCCCACGGGACGCGGCGTAAGGCCCTGGCAGAGCTGCAGAAGCATCCTGCGTGGCGGGGACAGGCGCACGCCCGTCACAGCTGTCTGTCACCGACAGCAGGGCCGTGGCCTCTAAGTGTATAGCTGAACACGGTCTACGTCACGGGCCCGGCCCTGAGGACTCCAAGAGACCCGGCAGCCTCCCGTCTGGTCAGCAACAAGTCTGCCCTCGACCCCCCTTGCAGCCAGCCCTCTCTGAATGCTCCCACAGGCAGGATCCAGCCAGAAACTGGCCTCACAGTGGGCTCAGGAGGTAGACTGGCTCCTACATCCCCACACGTCTGGGCCTCGCGATTTCAGAGACTCTGTATCCTTGGGGACAGGCTGACTGTGAGAGTGAAACCCGCGCAATAATGAGTCTTCCAGGTGGGAAAGCAGAGGCCCAGGCGGCAGCTCAGAAAAGTGGGGTCAGCTTTTAGACCCGGGTGCATGGTCTTGGACAAATCATTTACCTTCTCTGAGCCTCAGTCTCCTCACCTGTAAAATGAAAATAAGAGCCCAAACAAACCTTTCCGCCCCCGCCTTGCCCTGAACCCCGAGCACCCAGGGGTGCGCCAGCCCCAGGTACAGCCCGCACCCAGCCAAGGCCCTCGTTTCCCTGCAGTTCTGCCCGCAAAGTGAGGATGGCAGTGGTGTTCTGTGCCCACCAAACCCCACGGGGCTGCTCTCACTTCTCCGGCAAAGGAAAGCCTAGGGTCCAGGTACCCTAACAGGAAAGGGCAAGGCCCCAAGGCTGAGGGACGGAGAGTCCCGCCCTGACCCCGCTGCTCACTGCCGCACAGTCACCTGCAGGACAGGCTCTCATGAGAGCCAGCGCCCAGGTTTATCAGCGTCTGGCTCACACTCGGAGGTTCGATAAGCGGCTCTGTCCTTAGTGGTCAGGGCAGCACCCTCTCTACCTCAGAGAGAACGTCCCCCTGCCACCTGTGGGAGGAAGTTGGGGGAGGGTGCAAACATGAACCCGCCTCTTCCGGGGCGGCCCGAGTGTGTCCTCTGGCCTCAACTGAAGCCCGGATCCCAGACTTGGATGGGACAGGCTGCTGGCAGCCTGGCTCAGGCTGACCTGCCTGGGGATGCAGCAGGGCCTCTGGGCCGCAGCGGGCAGGTGTGGTGGGAACAAGGCCATCGCCTTGGGCTCCTGTTCCAACTCACCTACCGATCAGTCTCTTGAGCATCCCGGCCACGGCACTGCCCATGCTGAACCGCCCGCTGTTGAGGATGTTCATGGCCACCTGCAGAGAAGGGGAAACTCACTGTGGGTCCGCTGTCCTGGCATCCTGCTGGGAGAAGCCCAAGGGCCACGGGGGCAGAAGGTGACAGACCGTGACGTTGCCTGTTCGTGCTGCTAGAGCTCCCCTGACAACGAAAGGCAGCGTCTGGCTGCAGTTACTCATCCTGACAACCCTCGCTGGGCTGGGCTGGGAGAGAGCATGGTCCCGACACCCCAGCATCAGGTGACTGCATCACTGCAACAGCTCTCAGACATCCTTGGAGTCACCCCCAGGAAAGGAACGGGACGCCTCTCTCCGCCTCAGTGGAAGGGAGCAGAAACTAAGACTTGTTGGGTAGCTGCTGCCAGCGCCCCACTTTCCCAGCAACCCTTCAGTGTCAGGGCCCCATCCGACAGAAGAAGAACCTGAGGTTCAGAGTGGAGAACCAGCTCCACAGCAAGCGCCTGCCTGATGCACAGGCCCGGGCCCTCTGCGCTGAGCCAGCCCCTTCCACCTACTTGACCTGCTCCTCCCCACAGTCAGGGAAGTAGTTAAGGGGCTCGGCCAGCTTCTTTCCTCTCTTTCAACCTCAGCTTCCTATCTGAAGCACATGGTGAGCACACACCTGCTTCCCCAGCAGCAGACTGCCCAGGCTTGGGGAGGCGCCCCCGCAGAGGCCCACAGGGGCACAGAGACATGGCCACTCAGGCAGCAGGTGGTCAGTGGTGTAAGGTGACTGAATGGGGACACGAGTCCAGTGGGAACGGCTGAGGAGTAGGATGGTGGGAACCCCTAAGCTGGGGCTGCCAGGCCGTGTAGGGGAGAAGGGCATCCCGGGCTCAGGGGTCAGGTGGCCACCAGCACAAGGCTCCTAGAGGACACCGCGACCTGCCCACCTCTGCCTAAGCTACCCTGACGCCCGGGGCTGCTACGGCCCAGCCTGTCTTCTGGACGCCAACTTCTCACCACTATGCTGACGTCCCAGCAGAGAGCCACGTGCCCCCCAGGCCAGCACAGCCTACTCCGCTCCGAGCCAGGAGGGGACAGGAAGCTGGGGCCAGCAACACACAGGACGGCATGGGACTCACGGGGCCGCTGGGGCAACTCACCTTAAAGCCGCCTCCGACTTCTCCGAGGACGTTTCCGACGGGCACCCTGGTGTTCTCAAAGTGGACCTCGCAAGCTGAAACACAAACCCAGGGCCTCAGCTGATAGGCAGGCCGCGCGGTTCACCCCTCCTCCCTCCGTCCCGTCTGCACTGCGCCTGCCGACACGTGGACAGAAGGACATGGCTCCCGGCCACTGGGCCTACACCAGCTAGGGGAGATGAAACGGCGTGCAAGGTGTCCGGCACTGCGGGGGGCGCCGCGGGTGACAACACGGCCCCGGGATGGCGCGGGGGCTGGCGGGAGTGGCTAATGACGGGTTACTGAGGGCTCCTATCACACTTCTCTGAGATGCAGCCTGAAGGCTGGGAAGGAGCCGGGGCGGGGTACTAGGCCGGGAGGTGGGCCCCGTCTAAGGCCGCACATCCATGGCATCGGTCCCACCTGCTCCTGCTCTAAGGCCGCCCCCTCCCCTGCCCACAACACCGCAGGCAGTGTGGCCAGAGTCAGGGCCGGCACGAGCAGGCGCTTCCCTGTGCTGACAGCCTGGCTGGGCCCCTGGGGACTCTGACCTGCGTGAGGAGCTCCCACCTGGTCAAGAACCCACGGCACAGAGTCCCGGGGCAGCTTCTCAGACAGGCTGTGGCCACAACAGGCGGCACAGACCTCTGAGGGCCGGGCAGACCAGGCCAGGCCAGGCGTGGGCAGCCAGCACCGCTGACCTTTATTCTCCGGCACCTGTGTTCAGACGGCCGGTTGTGGATGCAGCGAGGGCCCCGGCATCCTGGCTGCTGGCCCTATTTGTGGCTTCAGTACCAGCTGCTGAGAGGACCTGGCCTCCTGACTTCACGCTGCCCCACTCAACCCTCTCTCGGGGCCTCTGTACCACCCACCTGACCTCAGTGGGGGCAGCAGTACCTGGCATGCCCCTGTTCCCCGCGGCCCACCTCGGTCACCAGCCAGCTCTACCACCAGCATGCCACGCCCGGTCCCTCCTCGGCAGGCAGCCGCGGTCACGGTGGTGACCCCGGAGCACAGCAGCTGCCCGGGCTGCTCTCATATGCACTGATGTCCACACCCATCCTAACACAGCCTTCCCACGGCACCTCCGTGGCGGGTCCTGTTCTCTCCCCTCTCCTTCAGGTGACAAAACCAAAGTACAGAAAAGTAAACTAGTTTGTTCAAGGTCACGCATTCTATGTGGCAGAGCCAGGTCAGAGCTCGGGGCCCCCGACCCATGCTGAACAGATGTCAGGGGCAAATGCCACCATCCAGAACGCCAGGTCCCCAAAGACGAAACTGCAAAAGGGAAATGGGCCTGCGGCACCGACACTCCATGGTCTAAACTGAGGGACCCAAGAGGCAGAGTCTCATGGGGGCAGTTTGTGGGAGAGTGGGCTCAAGTGAACTGAGCACTGACCAGGGGCCACAGGCAGGCCGGGACAGGGAGGAGTTCCAGGCGGGAAAGACGGGGGCTGCTGCGATGGAACCCCACCGCCTGCCCCCGAGGCCGCAGCGACCTCCCTCGCAGTCCCCAAAGCCCGACGTGTGGAGAGGTGTGGTCGGCGTCTGCTGGGCTGGTGAGTCAGCTCCAGGGGCTGCCCTGCACGGCCACGGTGGGGGCGCTCCTGACCAGATTTCAATAAAATGCTTCGGGGGAACCAAACCTCTTTCCATCTCTTTTTACCTTGATGTTTGACATCTTTTTATCAAAACGAAATCTCCCCCCCCCCACACGCGTACGTGAGCACTACTCACTGTTGGAGCCTCGGATCCCTAACTTGTCCTCAGGTTTCCCGTTGGTGACTCCACCGAAGTCTCTCTCTACTATGAACGCCGTGATCTTGTCCTTCACTGAACCATCGGAATCAACCACCTCAGTCTTGGCAAACACAGTAAAAACATTGGCCAGCCCTCCATTGGTGATCCAGACCTGAGCAGAGAGCAGAAGGGCCCTGGAGAAAATCAAGCCACCACACCCCACCGCTCAGCGCCCGCAGCCGGCAAACCTCAGGCAGGAGGGGAGCCCCTCTCGGGCCGCCCGGCCCTCGCGAGCGGGGACGGGGACTCTACCCAGTGTCCCCAGCAGACACCGGCGGCTGCGTGTGTGTGTGTGTACGTGTGCATACGTGTGCGTGTGGAGGGCAGCTGGCGGTGCTAAGATGGCTCAGTTTCTAGCTCAAAACAGCCTGGGGTGGGAGGGAGGCAGAGGGGAGCCAGAGGAGCAGGAAGACGAGCAGGAGGCAGGGGAGAGACTTGTCAAACTGCTACATATGCTGCGTACAGAACTTATTTGGATCTTGATTCAGGCAAGCCGTCTGAAAACCACACAGGGCTGAGACAGTCGGGGAAGTGTGCGTGCTGACTAGAGAGTAAGAGACCAACGGCAGCCGTGAGTGTAACGGTGGTGCTGTGCCGCCAGTCGTCCCGTCCTGAGAGGCCCGTGGCCCAGGGGTGGCGACCTAACAGAAACGCTGAAGCCGGGAGAAGGGGGTGGAGGTTCACAACACAAAACTTTTGTGTGCGTTTCATTTTGTAATAAAAAATTAGCCACCAGACACACAAGAGCAGCTTGGGGAGATAGGTGGTACCACGGAGGCCCAAAGACTGGAACCAGGATGCCTTGGTTCCCATCCTGCCACGAAGCAGGTGGGATGGTGGCCAAGTGGCCCCTCCGAGCCAGTTTCTTCTTCCAAAAGAGTAGGAGCATCACCCACGGATGGTGGTCAAGGGATGACACGGTGCGTGGAAAGTGGTCAGTGCGAGGTGGTGAAGTCAGGACAGAGACCCCGACACGGCCCCGGGGCTGTACCTTGGAGCCGTTGAGGACATAATGTTTCTTGTCTTCACTTAATGTCGCCCTGGTCTGGATGGAGGCAGTGTCACTCCCGCTGGGGACAGAAACATGCAGTTGAGGAGTAACGCTGGCAACAGAGAACGGTTTTCAGGGCCCCAGATGGAAGGTTTCAGTACTTAACATAGGCCTTGGCCAACTTTTACAACAAAGGGCCAGATGATAAATATGTTCAGCTTTGCAACCACAATCTGTAAGCAAATGGGCATGTTCTAGTAAAACTTCCTTTACAAGAGCAGGTGGCCGGGTGGGTTTGGCCGACCCCTGCTGTACCACACTGGGTGAAAGGGCGGCAGTGACAACCTCTGGGAGGTAAACACGGAGCTGTGGCTCAGACGGGCTCCAAGCTCCTGCGAGGCGGGGTGCAGGGGAACCCGGCTCCTGAGGTCACGGAGGGGCTGGTAACGGACTCGCCGTCAGCAGCCAAGTCCCGCCAGCCTTGTCCCATCCGGGCATGGACTCGGGGCTGATCACTCGTCTCCCCGAGTCCCAGTGCACGGCCTGCAAAGCGGGGGGACCCCCCCCCACCATCTGCTCTGAGAGCTGATGTGAAGCCGGGATGTGCTATCGTGCGTAGGAGGGCTGTCAGGCCGTACGTGTAAAGGTCGACGTGGGTGGGAAGCGAGGTGAAGGAGGAAAGCAGGAGAGCTGGCAAGGAAGGTCCGCAGGGCCTCAGGGCGCCACCCCGTCAACGCGCCCGGAAGCTGTCGCGTGACCCCCAACGGCAGACCTGGCGGGCTCCGTCAGGCAGAAGGCAGCCACGTGCTCCCCGGACGCCAGCCTGGGCAGGTACCTGGCCTTCTGCTCCTCGCTGCCGGCCAGGAGGATCCCCTGACAAGACATACATGGGCTGGTCTCAGCCGGGAGGGAGGACCGAGTGAAATGCTCGCAGAACATGGCCCCTTCTGGAACACGCTTCCTTTATGCGTGAGGACACATTCTGAGCTCAGAGCCATCAGCCCCAGGGGAAATATGGGGGGGCTGCTGGAGAGGCTGGGGGGTCCCCCTCAAGGGCACAGTCTAGGGCGGCTCAGGCCGGCAGGACCCGCGTGGCTCTGGGGCTGGACTTGGGTTTTCACTGCAGCTCCTCCCTGTCCTGGCTGCGGGCGGGGGACCAGGGGCACCAGAGCCACACCTGGTGTCTGGCCAACGTCAGGATGGCCCACCCTTCGGTCAGCACCACAGCGAATCCACTCTTGGGTGGGGCCTGGCCCAGGGCTCCCTTGCCTCTCAGTTTTTCCATGGAGCAAAAACAACCCAAATAACGGGACTGTCACCAAGAGCTGGCGTGGGGTAGGGGGTGTGGGGACTGAGCGCTGTATGAAATGGGCGCCGATCCCATGGGGCGAGGCTGCAGGACAGCTGGGCCCACCCCCAAGGACTCCCCTCTTGGTAAGGAAGTGAGCAAGCCTGCTGCCTTGCTGTCCCCGCGTGACCCTGGAAGACCCTGAGAGAGCATCGCCCAGAACCGCAGACCCCTGACCTTGAGGCCGATGGCCTGATGTGCGGCCAGGGTCACGGTGATGGAGCCGTCCATGCTGATGACCTCCACCAGCCGTGCGTACATGGTGTTGGAGAGGCCCAGGCCACCTAGAAGAGAAACAGGCCAGATTCACTGGTGCTCCGACCCCAGCCCTCCCAGGAAAGGCAGAGGCTTCGCTGGGCTTTCTAGATTATAAAGTAATGCCGGTGCACCACTGAAAAGCTCACAGTACAGAAAGGTACAAAGGAAGCAAAAATTATCTGTACACTAATCATTCAGAAAGAATGTTTTTGTGCACATCCTTTCAGACTTTTTTTGGCCATATAAACATATACAGATGTATATTCTAATATAAAACATAACGTTTGCTACAAAAATACATAAGCACCTATACACACACTGAGTCATTTACAACGCTGTGAACACCTCCCATCACAGATCCAGAGCTTTATGAACACAAACCCTGTCCGGCGTCCACTCCCAGCACCTCACGGGCTCTAGGACAGGTTCCTCCACCTCAGCGCCCTGACCACCAGGGCTGGGTCTTCTTTGCTGGGGGGCAGGGGTGTCCCATGGACTGTAGGGAGCTTGGCCACACCCTCGGCCTCTGCCCACTAGACGCCAGTAGCTCCCCCTCCCACACGGCTCTGACTACAAACATGTCTCTAGACGTAACGTGCCCTGGGGCCAAGATCACCCTGGTTAGGAGTCACTGTTCTAGGAGCAAAGGGACAAAAACATTAGAAAACCAAAACCTCCACTGAACCTGTGTATTCTGCATCTCATCCTGAGCTTCCACAGGTGGTGGGGTGGCCTTAGGGGCATCGTATAAGTGATGACCTGAGGCCTAAGCTCAGGCGCCCAACAAGGAGCAGAAACGGCCCTGAACTCCGGGGTGTAGGCCCGAGCCATCACACGGCCCGGCTGCAGGGGGCCCTTCACACACACAGGGGAGGGCTGAGTCCCTGCACGGGTGCACAGTGGTCCCTGGGTTCAGTTAGGACCCCGCCTCTGTTTCTATCAAAACCCTTTTGATTCTAATCGTTTTCGTATACTGGTCAGTTTTGTTAAAAAAGGAAGGGAGGGAGAAAAACCATGATGCTTTTTCCCCAAGAAAGCATCAGTGAAATCACAGGGGGCAGGGGGGGACAGTGACTTGGGGACAGGTGGCAGGTGGGTGGGGACTGCCGACGAGGGAGGAGCGGAGGGCTCGCAAGGGACCTAGGGGCGGAGATCCAGCCTGCCAGGGCCTTCAGAAGGAACGCTGCCCTCAAATGCTCTGGGCAGGAGCAAGGCTGCTGCCGCCTTCACTTCCCAAGGAAGGGGTTTTATAAAGGAACGAAAACGAGATATCCCCAAATGTGACCAATATCACCCCTGAAAAGGCACTTTCACACCGGAGAGCAGGGCAGAGAACGAGAATAAGGGAAGGGGTGGTGCAGTCTCTCTCTCTCTCTCACACCACGTGCTGGCATAAGACACACGGACGCAAAGACTCATTCCACTCTGACACACAAGTCGTCCGGAGGAAAAGTTAACTCTTCTCATCAAGAAGGAGTACTTCTAAACACTGCTGGAGGGACAGACGCCACTGCCACCCGGCTGTGCGCAGCAGCGCTCCTCTGCTGCCTGCTTCCTCCGAGCTCTAAGCCCCCGTCTTCCCAGCTGATGACGGACCACCTCCGCTCTCCGGCTCCAGCCCCGCCTGCTCTCTGTGGAATATTCCACGTGCTCTGCACGTCAGTGCAGACAATTCCCAGTGGCTTGTGAGTTACAGCACTGACAAGCCTCAGATGTCTGGGAGGAGCCTCGTCGCCCACATCACGTCCCTCCTGTCACCGGGGGCTGCAGATTTGTGTTAGGAGACAAGGGCCGCGTGGCCCCCGGCAGAGGTCGGAGCTGCGTTCTGCCGCCAGGGGGCGCAGCAGCAACGATGCTGTCTTCTGCAGAGAAGGCCATTTCTTATGTAACTTGGAAATGTGGTGAGAGGTATTTCACAGGATGACAAGAGACACCCTTTAACAGCTTAAACACTACAATAAACTCAGATATAAACTAAAATCTGATGTGATTACAATATGCCTCGGAATCAAGACAGTCAGGCGTCACACTGTTTTGCCCTAACTTCTCACCTCTTGTCTCAGGCTGGGCCCTGAGATGACGAGGCTGGGAGGGCCCGGCCACCAGGGCCCACCCCGCTCCAGGTGACGGCGGTGCAGGGCTCCGCGGCCCCTCCTGCCCCACCGCCCACAGCCCACACACCGGCCACCCCACACTCAGCCCTTAACGGACATGTTAATCAACTCTAGCATTTTTACAGCTCACCCTCGGACTTACTGCATCTTCAAAGGCCACCTTTCCCAAACAGAATCCTTTTTTGGACAAATACAGAGCACTTTGTTGAGGGCCAAACCAGTGGGGTGGCGGTTTCCTTTACTCACCATATTCCTCTGGGACCAGCAACCCAAAAAGCCCCAGGCTCTTCAGTTTCTCTAAAGTTTCATTTGGGATTTTCCCCTCCTGGTCGATTTTTCGAGAGTCCACTGTCAAGAGGAAATATTCTGATTAAATAAAACATAACCTCCTCTTACGCAAATAGAAGTGCACAGGACAACTGTCGTGCAGGACACGGTCCCAGCATCAGAAACTCCAAAACTGGAGATGGCCCAGCCATGCTCAGTCACCGTGTGCTCCACTTCACCTCATTAGCCCTGCAAGAACTGTACTTTTTTTAAATTACCAGCACCAGGTACTGTCGGTTCTTGATCTGGGTGTATTCATTGCGTAAAACTGCAAATTATACATTTAGGAGAACTAAACTTTTCTGTAGGCATTTACTAAGCTTGAATTTTTGTTTTATCACTTGTGCCTCCTAGAAAATTAGAGAATAAGGACCCAGCTCCAGCGCTGCCCTAAAACGTCAGGCTAGATGGCCAGGCTCTGGGCAGCATCCGGGCTGGGACCCACTCGTGCTCAGAAATCGCAGCTCTTCCCCGAGGGCCCACAGGTTCCGAGAACAGGTTATTCTGCACCAACGTTCACATTCATCAGAGCAGAACTAAACCGTGTTAGGTTTACAACTGCACAATTCTGTATGAATCAAGTATTTTTTAATTGCCAACAAACTAAACTTCATCAGTATCATAAATTTTAAAAATACCCATAATCTACACTTATAAATTTCTATACATGTGGGTCACTAGTGAGAAATACGGACGCCCCAAATCCCTCACTTTTTACCTTTACAACTTCACTTACATATGTAATTGGCACACAGTAAACTGCACGTTATTTAGAATAATTTTAATTCTGACATGTTTGCCCTTGAAACCGTCCCTACAATCAACAAAAACGTTCCCTTTTCCACCAAGTATCCTTGTGCCGCTGTGACCACTCCTTCCCCGCACCTCCGCCCCCCGACAACCCCTAGGCTTTTTGTCTACAGACCGGTGTGCGTTGCTGCGTTTTTATACAAGCAGAACCACACAGCCTGAGCCCCTGCGGCCTGGCCCCTCTGACTCGGCATCATGACTCTGCCATCCGCCCATGCGGCTGCAGGCCGCATACTCCACACCTGCGCACTGCTCAGTGTTCTGCTGTATGGGAGGGCAAACTGCTCATCTAGTCACCTCTTGAAGGACACCTGGGTGGTTCCCATCTTTCAGCTTTTAGAAATAAAGACCCCATGACCATTCACATCCGAATCTTCGTGCAGCTGCATGTGTTCACCTCGTCCTGGAGCGCGGCTGCTGGGCGGCGGCGGCGGTGGGGGGGGCACGGTTAATGTCTAAGGAACTGGCAGGAACTGGGGAGACCTCCTCGCACACAACATGGAGTAACAGGGCCTGCATTTATCTTGCTACCTTAGATTACAGGGCACTGGGCACAACGAGGAAGAGGAATGAAAAAAAGAGTAATACATAAATATAAATATATTTATAATTGTACCATAGAGTAATGTAATACATGGATATATTTGGGGATTTCCAAAGGAGAGCAGGGGAGGAGGGAGTAGGGGAATGTGGTATGACTGGTGATAGAAAATGTTTAAAGAAATAATGGCTAAAAATTTACCAAAGTTGACTGAACACTATAAAAACACAGATCCAAGAAGTTCAAAGAACCCCAAGAAAAATGAAGAAAACTACAGTAACATCAATTTCTCTAAAACCACTTAAAAGCAGCTAGAGACACAAGAAGCAACGTGTGGAAAGAACACAGAGAAAATGGCAGCGGAGGTCTCACTGGAAACAGTGCTGGTCAGAGAGACGACGGACGGGCTGACCTAGAGACCGTCATCCTAAGTGAAGCCTGCCAGAAAGAGACAGAAAAGTACCGTATCTCACTCAGATGTGGGATCTAAAAGAAGAAAAACAGAGGACACTACGAACTCACCTACAGAACAGAAGCAGACTCGCAGACACAGGAAACAATCTTACGGTTACCAGGAGAAAGGGGGTAGGAAGGGATAGATTTGGGAGTTTGAGACCTGCAAATGTTAGCCACTACATGTAAAAATAACTTTTAAAAGAGTTTCATCAAACTACCCAGGACATTTTTCACAGAATTAGAACAAATATTCCTAAAATTTATGTGTAATCACAAAAGACCCAGAATTGCCAAAGCAATATTGAAGAAAAAGAATGAAGCTGCAGGAACAACCCTCCCAGACTTCAGACAGCACTACAGAGCTACAGTAATCAAAACAGCATGGTATTGCTACAAAAACAGACATATGGGTCAATGGAACAGAATACAGGCCCAGAAATAAACCCATAAACTTTTGGTCAATTAATCTTTGACAAAGGAGGCAAGGATATACAATGGAGAAAAGACACTCTCTTTTGAAAGTGGTGTTGGGAAAACTGTACACCTGCATGTATATCAATGAAGTTACAAAACACCCTCAGACCATACACAAAAATAAACTCAAAGTGACTTAATGATTTAAATCTAAGACAAGACACTAAAAACCTCTTAGAAGAAAACACAGGCAAAACATTCTGACATAAATCTTAGCAATGTTCTCCTAGGGCAGTCTACCCAAGCAATAGAAATAAAAGCAAAAATTAACAAATGGTACATAATTAAACTTTTAAGCTTTGGCACAGCAAAGGAAACCATAAGCAAAATAAAAACAACAACCTATGGAATGTGAGAAAATATTTGCAAAAGATGAGACTGACAGGGGCTTAATTTCCAGAATATTTAAACTTGCAACATGCAACTTAACAACAACAAAAAAACCCAAATCCAATCCAAAAATGGGCAGAAGACCTAAACAAGCAATTCTCCAATGAAGACATACAAATGGTCAATAGGCACATGACAAAATGCTCAGTATTGCTAATTATCAGAGAAATGCACATCAAAACTACACACCAGTCAGAATGGCCACCATTCAAAAGTCCACTAACAATAAATGCTGGAGAGGGCATGGGGAAAAGGGACCCTCCTACACTGCTGGTGGGAACGCAGTTTGGTGCAGTCACTATGGAAAACAGTATGGAGGTGCCTCAAAAAACTAAAAATAGACTTGCCATATGCTCCAGCGATCCGGGATCACTCCTGGGCATATATCCAGAGGAAACCTTAATTCAAAAAGACACATGCACCCCAATGTTCATAGCAGCATAACATCCAAGACATGGAAACAACCTGACTATCCACTGACAGATGATTAGATTAAAAAATTGTGGTATATTTATACAATAGAATATTACTCGGCCATAAAAAAGAAAAGATAATGCCATCTGCAGCAACAGGGATGAATCTGAAGATTGTCATTCTAAGTAAAGTAAGCCAGAAAGGGTAAGAAAAATACCGTACGACATCACTTATATGTGGAATCCTGGGGGGGGGAAAAAGACAAAGAACTTATTTACTAAACAGAAACAGACTCACAGACATGGAAAACAAATTTATAGTTACTAGAGGGGAAAGGGGGTGGGAAGGGATAAATTGGGAGTTCAAGATTTGCAGATACTAACATACATAAAATAGATAAATAATAAGTTTATACTGTATAGCACAGGGAACCATATTCAATATCTTGTAGTAACCTATAGTGAAGAATCTGAGAATGAATGTATGTACGTATGGTCCTACGTGACTGAAGTGCTGTGCTGTACACCAGAAACTGACGCAACACTGTAAACTCACTGTACTTCAATAACGATATGTTTAAGAAAAGGAAAAAAAGTTTCTTCAATATAGCACAGGGAACTATATTCAATATCCTGTAATAACCTTTAATGAATAAGAATATGAAAATGAATATATGAATGTATATGCATGACTGGGCTGGGACAGTGTGCTGTTCACTGGAAACTGACACACTGTAACTGACTGTACTTCAATTAAAAAAAATTAATTAAAAGGCACAGATTGGAGAAGGGTGAAATCGGTAAAGGGGACCAACCCTATGGGGATGCATGGAAATAAAGTTTTGGTGGTGAGCACGACACAGTACTCACAGAGGAAGGAGTATGATGATATAAACCAATGTTACCTCAATAAAAAATAAATTTAAAAAGGCAAAGACTGTCCAATTGGATTTTAAAGAGATAATATTCAACTACGCTGCCCATAAGAAATCCACTTTACCATTTCTATTTAAAATTTTTACTTTCAAATTAATTTTAGATTTAAAGAGAAGTCACAGAGACAGTACAGAGTTCCCGTATACCCTTAGAGGACCACGGTACAGCTATCAAAATTAGGAAACTGACATTGATACACTATTACTAACTAAATTACAGAATTAATTTGAAATTCACCAGTCTGTCCATTAATGTCCTTTTTCTGTCCTGGGATCCAATCTACGACCCCACACTGTACTTCGCTGTAACGTCTCAGTATCCTCCAGAGTGAATCCAACAATACGGAAAAGGCTAACGGGGGGGGGGGGCAGAGCTCAGTGGTAGAGCATGTGCTTAGCACGCACGAGGTCCTGGGTTCAATCCCCCGTATCTGCAGTAAAAAAAGGGGTCAGGAGACAGTAAGATAAAATAAAATACTTTATTTAAAAAAAAAAGGTTACTTCGCTTAAAAAAACAAAAAGGATAATACATGACGACCAAGTGGGAAGCATGCTGGGAATGCAAGAGTCTTTCAGTGCTCAAAACCGATCCATGTAATTTACTACGTCAACAGACTAAACAAGAAAAAAAACACAGTCATCTTCATAGATGCAGAAAAAACAAGGGACAAAATTCAATGCAATTTAGACGAGAGCCAGCAACAAACTAGAAATAAAAGGAAACTACCTTAAGCCGATGCAGAGCACCTACAAAAAATGTACAGCTAACACCATACGTAGTGGTGAAACAGTGACTGTTTTCTCCATAAAATCAGGAACAGTGCAGGGAAGTCTGCTCTAACCACTCCTCTCCAAACACATGCTGGAGAGATCAGCCAGTGAATCAAAGAAAAGTCAGGGAGACCAGGCTGGAAAGGAAGACGTGAAACCTCCCTCTCACCGGCAACGTGACCGTCTACGCACTAAGCCCCCCAAACCTACCAACAAGAGCTCCTGGAGCTG